AAAAGAAAGGACAAAAAAAAAGGAAAGAGAGACACACGGGTGAATAGAGGGGAGGGGGGGAGGGAGGGAAACCCCGCGCCGCGATGTTCTGCACGGGCGGTGGTCGGCCTGAGCTTCGTCGCCCTCGAGAGGAGCACCTGGGGGGGCGACTGAGCTTGAGCAGCGCACAGGAGCACGACCAGACGCTAAGACAGAGCTGGGCTGACCTCGTCCTCTGGCCTCTCGCTGTACTGGGCACCGAGCGGTCGCGCAGCAATCTCTTCCTTGAATCTTCCTGTGGAAGACGCCCTGAATGCCTGGACGAGAATCACAGCAAGTGTAAGGCCGGTGAGAACAATCCACCAAGTCTGGTCTAGCATTGATCGGCATCTCAACAGGCACGCACCAATAGCCCATACAAAATACTTGGAGCATCTCAGCTCCATTCGGAGAAGAGCCGCAGTGTTTGCCACTGCAAGCATGGGCCACAGGTATCCCAGCTCGACTGCCTCTCGCATGTTGATGAAAGCAGCCATGTTCAGAATCGTGGGGTAGATTATCGACACCACCCAATGCGGGACCTTCCGCTTGCGATGCAGCGTCATCGCAAAGGCGGTGAACTGGAGCACGAACAGATTGGCGAAGATGCCCGCGAAGCGCCTTGCGCCCCCGGCCAGGATCTGCGACGTGACCGGGAACTGGGAGGCGCAGAGCAGGTAGGTCATGAAGGGCGGGACCCGAATGGCCCTAAAGGTGGGTGTGTACTCCCCGAGCGCCGAGAAGTGCCGAATGACGGCCTCGGAGAGATACCAGGGGCTGCCAACGGGGGGGGACAACGAGATCCACGGTGAGCACGCAGCGTAAGGATGCAAGACCGCTGGGTGCCCATGCTGAAACGTCTGCAACTTCGCACGGCTACAGGATGGGCAGAACAACGAAAACCCAAGTAAAGATCGGCTTCCGAAGGTCCGCGAGGATTTGCTGGGTGGGCGCTGGACTCCCCTCCCCTGCCGTGCCGAGAGCGCCACGAGTGGTGCCAAGAGCGCCACGAGCGGCGCCACGAGTGGGACGACGTCGGGATGGAGAAGACCGAGCTCCGCATCGAGACGCATCGCCGATGCATGCGCGATGCGGCCCGATCGTCCGACCCCATCTGCATGGACCCTCTTTGGCAAATGCCCGAAACCCGGAACCCAAAAATGCTGACGTCACCCCTGTACTTCCGCCGACCGTCCGCGGGTGCAGCCGCCCACGTCGTATACTTCCCCACCCAGCTTGAAGTCGGACCTGTCCTCCTACAGGGGGATTGTGGGCGAAAAATGAGAAGTTGTCAACAAATATCACAAAGTGGTAAAAAATAGTCAAAATATACTCAAAAAAAACGTCCCCATATTATGCTTCAACTATTTATGAATGCATTGGAGGCCTGGAAATTGGCACCAACATCAACACAGGGGGTTGCCTCCACAGGGGGAAGATAATCTTAGAGTTCGGTGTTGGTGGTACTGTTTCGGCCACCCGGAAGTCAGAAGACTACCACCATCACCGAGATCGGGATCTTCTTCCCTCGGTGGAGGCACACCGCCGATCTTGGTGCTGGTGTCCACCTCTAGGCCTGCGAGAATACATTCCTCCTGTAGAGAGAGGCACAGGCCCGACTTGTGCCCAGCTCCCGGCGCCCGCTCGCCGCCTTCCGCCGAGGAAGAGCTTGCCACTCCTCGAGCCTTGGGGGGGACCATCGGCGGTGGACAAACCTCCCTTTAGTAAACCTCCCCTTAGTGAAAACGGCCTGGGACCGAAACCGACGGACCTGGACCCGCAAAGATGACGGCCGCGACGCCCTCTCGCGAACCGAAAACGGCCAACTCCTTCATCGACGTGTCAGGGTAGGAGGTCTGTCCACCTCCGAGACAACGGGGTACACATACCGCCACTCCCCCGGACCTCTCCCGGGGCTACGAGACCTATGTTGCATCACAGCAGCAATTCGGCCCCTGACTTTCGTCCTGGGTTCGGTTTAGTGAGGTGATGAATTTCGGGGCCTAACGTGGGAAAAAAACATCACTTCGCTAATCTGGGGCCCCTGGGGCCTCAGTGGGCCCTGGGGCCCAAAATTAGTGAAGTGATGGTTTTTGGACCTCTCCCCGGGGCGCGCTCTGACCGTGACCTCGCGGCGAAGCCGGCCCCGACCACGAGGAGCGGGCGGCGGCGTCGGCGTCCCTCTCTCCTCCCGGGGACCCCTCGAGGGCGAGACCCGGGCCGCGCCTGGGCGGCCCAGCAGAAGACGAAGCCAGGGCGAGGATGCATCCGTGAGGAAAACCGAGAGTCTCTGAGGTCCGGCGGCTCCGGAGGATGTCTCGGGCGCCGCGAGGAGGAGTCCGTGAGGAAGACCGAGAATCTCTGAGATCCGGCGGCTCCGGAGGATGTCTCGGGCGCCGCGAGAGCGCTCCAGAGCGCTCCAGAACGGACGTACCGTCGTCCTAGCCGTATGTTGCATCCCCGGAGGGGACCTTGTCTGTCCCGTCGCGGCCCTATCCGCGCCGAACCCGTGCCGAAACCATGTCGGACTCGTCGGATCCGTGTCGAATCCGTGCCGGATCCGCGTCGAATCCACGCCAAAGCCGCGTCGAGTCCGCATCGAGCCCGCGGCGGGCATAAGAAAAGGCGCCAAGTTTGGGGACAGGAGTAACCAGCCTCGAACTGATCCCTATCCCTAAGATGGGCGAGCAACGAGCGAGGACAACCTTAGGGATGTGCTCGGAGAAACTGAGGGATCCTAACGATCGGCATCGAGGTGAGGTGATGCCGAACATAGGGATAGGGATACGCTTCAAACTGGTAAAGGCGAGGCCCCCCGAAGACGCCACGTAACTAGCCCCGTCCGACAGCGAGGGGTAAGGACTCGATGGGCCTCCCCACTGCGGGCCTCGCCCTTACGAGAGGCTCCGCTCGCGCAGCCGGCCGATCTGCACACGGCGACCTTGGCCTCGAGGCGGACTCGGCCGTGGCGGCGAGGCCCCGAGCGAGGCCTCAAGAAGACGACAGCCACAGAGAGCAAACAGAAAAGCAAAAAGCCAAACAAACGGACCAACAAAGCGTGAAACTCCCCTCTCCTCCTGCTCCTGCTCCTGCTCCTGCTCCTGCTCCTCCTCCTCCTCCTCCTCCTCCTCCTCCTCCTCTTCTCCTCCTCCTTCCCCTCATCCTCCAACTCCTCCTCCTCTGCCCCTCCTCCTAGTCCATCCTCCTCCCCCCCCCCCCTCCCTCTCCTCCCCTCCTCCTCCTCCTCCTCCTACTTCCTCCCCTCTCCTCATCCTGCTCCTCTGATTCCTCCTCTCCTCCTCCTCCTCTCCTCCTCTCCTCCTCCCCTACTCCTGCTCCTCCTCCGCCCCTCCTCCTGCCTCCTGCTCCTCCTCCTCCTCCTCCTCTCCTCCTCCTCCTCCTCCTCCTCCTCCTCCTCAGACTCAGACTCAGACTCAGACTCAGACTCAGACTCCACCTCCTCTCCAAAAAACTCCGGAGGGCCCCGAAGGCCCAAGAAAGGCCCAAAAACCTCCTCCTCCTCCTCCTCCTCTTCCTCCTCCTCCTCCTCCTCCTCCTCCTCCTCCTGCTCCTCCTCGTCCTCCTCCTCCTCATCTTCCTCCTCATCCTCCTCCTCCGAACCCCCCTCTGTGGCAGCCCCTAGATACAGCCGAAGGAAGACCAGCCCCTCGACCGCGCCGAATATCTCGCGTCCAGTTGCGCGCTGCGCCCACACCAGCAGCATCAGGCCTGAGGGGGGGAGGGCATACATCATACATCCATCATTACCAAGCCTCTACTAGCCACTGGGGAAGAGAACAAAAAAGGAGAAGGAGGAGAAGGAGGAGAAGGAGGAGAAGGAGGAGGAGGAGCCCAAATGACGGTAGGTAGAGCCAGAGCCTGTGTAGGCCTGGTGGTGGTGGAAACTGTTTTACTCACGCCGCCTCCCGCCTCCCTCCACTCTATCACTCTTCCGAATAACTAACTCCCCCCCCTTGTCGCACCGCCAGACATGTCGGCAGACCGAGCTGAGCGTTTCGCCTGAGACATCCACACCGGTGGGGATCTTGAAGCTTCAAACTTCTCACACTCAAACGGATGGAGGACGGGTCGTGTTCAAACTAGGGCTCTCTCTCTCTCTCTCCCTCTCTCTCTCACTGGGGCGCCGCACAAGCTCGCCTCAAAAACAACCGTCGTGCGGATAGAGGACGGTGGTTGCTTCGAAAACGGGGCTCTCGCCTTGGCGCCGTGCACGCTCGCCTTAAAAAAAAGCTTGCAAGACTTACACGGGCGGAGGGCGGCTCCTTTCCAAAATGGAGCTCTCACTTCAGACGTCCTCAAAATGTGTTACCGCGCGTATCCGCCACCCTCGGCCAATTTACATCGTACCGCGCCCTGGACGTTGTGCCCGCTCCCTGTCCCTCGCCTTGGAGCCGCGAACCAAAAAGTATCCGCCACCCTGACTTCAGCACGTAGCGACGTGCCCCAATGCTCACGCAGCCTTGAGAGGTATAGGGTTTCTAAAAATCTTAAGGGCGCTTCTGGGCGCCACTGGCCGGGGTGTTCCCCGTGGGCCTCCGGGACAGTGACCGCGCCCAGGAGGGCCCAAAAACGGGCCTGCACGGCCCCAAGAGGCCCCCAAAGCGGTCCAAGAGGACCCCAAGTCACCTGAAGATCGCTCCCAGACGCCCAAGATGGCCTCAAGACGGCAAAAGAGGCCCGCGATAAGCTCCCAGGGAGCCCCAAGAGCACCCCCAAGAGAGCCCCGAGATGCCAAATCTCTGATTGTCCTTGGGTGTTTGAAATGTTTTAGTGTTTTCGCCTTGGAGCCCAAGAGACCCCAAAGATCGCCTACAGGCGGCCCAAGAGGCCCCCGAGAGCGCCCCAAGACGGCCCAAGGTGACCCCAGGACGGCCCAAAAGGCTCCCAAGACGGCCCAATGGGGCCCCAAAAGGGGCCAAGGAGAGTCCCCAGATGGGGAACACGACCCGACCGAGCCCTTCGCCCCAAGATGGCCCCGAGACCGCCAGCAGGCCTCCAAGAGGCACCTCACAAGCTCCAGGACGCCCCCAAGAGTCCCAAATCAGGCCCCCAAGAGGCCCCTCACAAGCTGCAGGACGCCCCGAAGAGTCCCAAATCAGGCCCAAAGGGGCCCCGAAGAGGCCCCCGAGAGGCCCACAAAGGGGGAAGGGGAGGAAGGGGAGGAGGAGGAAGAGGAAGCGGAGGAGGAGGAGGAAAAGGAGGAGGAGGGACCAGTGTAAAACCAAGAGTCATCAACGACGTTGGAATTAACCCTCCCTCCAAGTTCCTTCTTCTCATAGGCTCCCACAACGGTTGATCTCCATTGAGGGAACTGCCTTGTCGGAAGAGAACCGTTTGAAGATCCAGAACATTGTTCTCGGGATTCCAACGCCACGTATCAACCTGGCTGCTGCGTCTTGACGATCTGGAATCGTGCCAGAGAGTCATTTGTGGAACTTCAATACCGCCAAGCAACATAGCTGCTGCACCCGCATAATCCTGAATCCGTCCAAAACACCATTTCTGGCGCGTTGATCATGGGAATCAATGAAAATCTTGCAAAATTTGAGAACGAATGTGCGCGGCGCTAAGGCGAGAGCCATATTTTGAAAACCACCCGCCCTCAATCCGTGAAAAGATTCTAATGTTTGAAAACGAATGTGCGCGGCGCTAGGCGAGAGCCACATTTTGAAAACCACCCGCCCTGAATCCGTGAAAATCTTCCAATGTTTGAAAACGAATGTGCGCGGCGCTGAGGCGAGAGCCACGTTGAAAACCACCCGCCCTCAATCCGTGAAAATCTTGCAAATGTTGAAAATGAATGCGCGCGGCGCTAAGGCGAGAGCCACATTTTGAAAACCACCCGCCCTCCGTCTGCGAAACGGCTGTGACTTTTCAAGCTTCAGAATGATCAATGGAGAGGGAATATCAGGCGAAACGCCAGGCCCGCCCTAAAAACTGGCCCCGGGGTTCGAGAGGGGGGAATTAACTATAAGGAGAAGTAAAGGAGGAGGAGGAGGAGGAGGAGGAGGAGGAGGAGGAGGAGGAGGAGGGAGGAGGAGGAAGCGGAGGAGGGAAGAGGAGGAGGAGGAGGAAAAGGAAAAGGAGGAGGAGGAGGAGGAGCAGGAGAAAAGACACCTCAAAGCCGAATCCAAGAGGCCTCCGAGAGGCCTCCCAAGACCCCCGCGGGCTTCCCAGAGGCCTCTGACCCACAACCCAGGCACGGCGGCGGGAGGGCCGAAGGCCCCTGGACAAATCTGCATAACGGCCATACGGCGGCTCTTGAAGATGGGGCAATCGCTTGAGCCTTCGCTGGGTATGTATGGCCAGGTGTCTTGGAAACGCGTTCGGGCTATGCGGGTGGAGGGCTGCTCCGTTTCCCGGCGGGGCTGTCGCTGAGCATTGCAGCATGCCTTCTGGCTCGAGGGACGAAGGTCGGGTTCTTTCCAAAACTGAGCCACCGCCTAAATTGCAGGCCTGTGAGGGGCTCGACTTTCAAGGGTCAAGGGAGACGCTTCGCGCAGTGAATACATGCTTGCAGAGACTCATGAGAAGGGAACTTGGGACGCGAGGGCGTGTTGCAGCATCGTTGATACATCTTGGGTTTACTCTGGTCTTCCTCCTCCTCCTCCATCCCTCTTCCGTGTGAACAACCCCCCCCTGTCGCACCACCAGACGCGTCCGTAGGCCGAGCAGGGCGTATCGCTTAAGAGATCCCTGCAAGCTACCATCCTGAAATTAAAAACGCCAACAGCTACACGTTGGAGGACGGGTCGTTTTGAAAATGGGGCTCTCGCCTTACCGCCAGAGTATTCGTCTACAAGGCTTGCAGCCGTTACACAGATGGAAATCACTACGAAATCAAAGTGGGGTTCTCGCCTGAGGCTTCCAATCAAACACTCTACCACGGGTGGAGGGCAGCTCCTGTCCAAAATTGTGATTTCGCATGAGAACTGCTAGATCTGATGCACAGGAGTTTCACGTCGTTCACCACGTGCATGGATGGAGGGCGATTCCGTTTCAAAGCGGTGCTGGCGCCCTGGACATCCTTGAGCTTTACAACCCAACCTTGTCGCATTCCTCGTCGCTTGAAGGATACAGGGAGGCTTCTTGAAAAACTTCGTTCCCGCCTGAATTGCAGGCCTATAAAGGGGGGTTCGGCTTTCAAGGGTGATGCTTCGCGCTGTGAGACCAGGCTTGCAGAGAGAGGTGAATGAGGAGTGGCCTTGGGACGGGAGTGTGTTGCAGCAGTTGCTCATACAGCTTGGATTTACTCTTAGCCTCCTCCTCCTCGACCCTCTCCTCCCTGGAGCCCCTTGGAATCAATGAGCCCCCTCTGGAACACCGAAAATCAGACTTGAACGTTATCGTCCGTCCATCTCCTCCTCTTCCTCATCCTACTCCTCCTCCTCCTCCTCCGCCTCTTCCTCCTCCTCCTCCTCCCAAGTCCTCCCCCCCCTCCGCCTCCTCCTTTCCTCTCCT